TTATGTTGTCTCCTTTTTTTTTTTTTTTGCTACACCCTGGAGATGCAGGAATTCTAAGTCTTATTATTTAATTCAGTTATCTATATAAATAAAAAGCTAATATGCAAAGTGCCCCCTCAGGAGTTCGACTGGGAGATGGGGGGGAGTTCGATTGCTCGCTTTTGACGTGTGCTGACCATCAGGGGGCGGTGCGGAATGAAGGAAGGCCCCGGCCAGCAGCCAAAAGGAAGGCTCTGGTTGGCAGCTGGAAGGCCCTGATCGGCCCTGATTGCCAGCCAGGCCTAGGGACCCTACCTATGCACGAATTTTGTGCACCAGGCCTCTAGTATACAAATAAAACCAAATTCTGTATTTAAGTATAAATGTCAGTCCTGTATAATGTCACCTACTTCACATGAATAGTCTATTTATGTATTATTATAATTGTACATAGTAGGTATCTAAAAGAAATACATGGAAAGAAATGTATTAAAAAAATTACTATTTTCTAGGGCAGTGATGGCGAACCTGTGACACGCGTGTCAGAGGTGACACATGAACTCATTTTTTTGGTTGATTTTTCTTTGTTAAATGGCATTTAATATATAAAATAAATATCAAAAATATGAGTCTTTGTTTTACTATGGTTGCAAATATCAAAAAATTTCTATATGTGACATGGCACCAGAGTTAAGTTAGGGTTTTTCAAAATGCTGACACACCGTGCTCAAAAGGTTCGCCATCACTGTTCTAGGGTGAATTAAAAAAAAATCTAACTAGTACAAATATTAACCAAGCTAAAAAGTTAAAGTGCATCATCCATCACAATCTGTACTAAGATCTTTATAATATTAAGTACTGACTGCCTTGTGTTGATATGCTGACTTACAATAAGTCAACACCATTTACACATTTCCTTTTCTGTTTTAAAATACTACTACATATTTAAAAGGGAAAACAGTAAAGATAAATTTTATGAAGCCCATATTTCAAATATCTGTTTTTTGATATACTATAAGCAACAGAGAAAATACCCTAATTATTTCTACATTTAATAATTAGATACTACAGGACTTAAGTTTATGGGACCAAATAAAAATATCAACATCATGATGTGGCTGCTGTTTGCTATATGTTCTCTGCCAATAAAACATATCAATAAGTCAGTTTATAGCTTAAGCCATATATTTTGTACAAGAACATGCACTTGTATTTTTAAGTTAATCAGCAGATAGAAAGCCTACCTAATTTCTACTTTACTATGAATATAACAATTCAACTCCTTGGTATAAACCAATTAAGTGACTATATTGAAAGAATAAACTATTCCTAATATTCTGAAATACATTTTAAAGTATCTCTACATTGCCCTAGCTCAGTGGTCAGCAAACTCATTAGTCAACAGAGCCAAATATGAACAGTACAACGATTGAAATTTCTTTTGAGAGCCAAATTTTTTAAACTTAAACTATATAGGTAAGTACATTGTTATTAACCTACCTATATAGTTTAAGTACCGTTGATATTTGGCGCCTCCCCCGCACTGCGTATCCTGTGGCCCGCCTGCGCCACGTCTCCCATAGCCCGACCGACCGACACCCCCGCCCCCCCGCCACTTCTTCTAACGCCACTTCTTCAAAATAGACTCACCCAGGCCGAAAACCAACTTCTGTGCATGGGCCACGAAGTTTCAATCGCACCGTATGTGCGTGCCCACCTGTGGTATTTTGTGGAAGAGCCACACTCAAGGGGCCAAAGAGCCACATGTGGCTCGCGAGCCGCGGTTTGCCGACCACTGCCCTAGCTGGTTTGGCTCCGTGGATGGAGCGTTGGCCTGCGGACTGAAGGGTCCCGGGTTCGATTCCGGTCAAAGGCATATGCCTGGGTTGTGGGCTCAATCCCCAGTAGGGGGCATGCAGGAGGCAGCGATAAATGATTCTCTCTCTCATTGATGTTTCTCTCTCCCTCTCTCCCTCTCCCTTCCTCTCTGAAATCAATAAAAATATATATAAAATCAATAAATAAAGTATCTCTACATTGAACTATTCTATGTTGAACTAATTTGAACGATACTTCCTTCATTTAAATCACACATAAATTAAAATATCCTGTTTTCATATGCAGAACACAAAAATCTTTTAGACATTCTACCAAAAAAGAAGTTATATGAGCCTTTTTTATATAAGAAAAACAAGATAATGGAGCTATGAAATGGCTTAGACAGATCACAGAAACTCATACCACAAGGTACAAATGGTAAGAATGTGGTGGAGGTGTAATTTGTTTCTTAAATTTTTAAAACTGCATTTTTCTTAAAACATACCCTAGGCTGAAGGAAAAAAATAAAAACATGTAAAACAAAATACAAAAGAAAGTAAAATGACAAAAAATAACAATAAAAAATAATCAAAACAAAAAAAAAACTGGCAGGCATAAAACTAATATGCAAAAACATATTTTAAACCGAACCCTCAGGGTTATAAACTAAGACTGCAAAACTAAAGTAGAAATTTCTATAGAAAACTGACAGTGAGGCCACTCCTGAGCTTTAAAAACACATGCACCTGGTCCTCAAATAACGTCGCTTTGTTCTAACATTGATGAGATGCACAGGAACTTAACTCTTTATAACAATTAGTCTGTAGTAACACTGGTTCCATTCTGTGGCTTGAAGTCACAGAACCTATTGATGATGTTAAGTCAGGACTTACTGTGCACACCAAATTGTCTCTAGTAATTTTTGTTGTTGTTTGGCAGTTAGGTAAGAGATGCAGGCTTTTCAGTAACTAGAAAGTACAAAGACCAAGAATATGAACACAACTGCTACAATGTGACGATAGCTGCTCATTTCGTGTAGGGGCTTTTATGCACAATCTGCATCATAGTAGGCAGAAGTGGTTTTAGAAGAAAAGAGAAAAACACTTGCTAAGACTTTCAACTTCTAGTTCTGCACAACAGTTTCTTTATAGAGTCCTTATTTGAAGGCAAAATGACTTCAGCTTTAAATTTAAAAATCTGTCATAGATTTATTACCCTAAAACTTTCATTTCTAGGACATAAATTTATTGAAATAAACAATTACGTACTATATTGTGCTCTCCAGGCTACAGTTTTGATGGAACTAAAACCCACTCCTCTGTGCGCATGTACAGGACTTCTTTATTTGTAAAGGGGCTTCCCTCAGCAGTTAGGTAAGTCCTGAAAGCCAACCAGAGGGTCCTTCCCTGTGGCTTCTAGGACTAATATGGCCAAGCTCCAAAGTCCTTTGCTAAAAATAGATGAAGGGAGCAGCCCAATTTTGGAATAAGCCAAGATCTATGCTATGTTCACAGATGTGTATGTACCATATTATAGTGAGGGAGACTTTTCTATAACTTATTAGTCAAAAGAGAAGCAGATGCTAAAAGTTGTTCTGTTCACTGTAGTACTAAATTTTTTAACACAATTTATATGATTATAGAAACTGATCACACAAAAATGTTTGCAAGCAAATGTTAGACATATACCATAAAGATTGGAAAAACAAATATAAAAATTATCCAATCCTGTAAAAAACCTCAGATCACAAAATTTGGGAAACAGGACACTAACCATTATTAAATCCAATCCTTTCATTTTAGAGATGACTAAAAACCTCCAGAAATTTTAAGAGATTTAAGAGAAACTTGAGTCTCAAATGAGAAAAAGATAGTTTTAAGACTGAGATGGGGAAAGTAAAGGAAAAAAATAAAAGATGAACATTCTAAGAAACAAAGTACTGTAATGTCTGGCTTAGGACGAAACAGGAAGAAAAACAGAAAATTGTCAATACAGTTAAAATGAAGAAACAATCCTATATAATAAAAGGCTAATATGCAAATTGTCCCCTCAACCGGGAGTTCCTGGCTGGCAGGACCCCAACGTGCACGAATTCGTGCACTGGGCCTCTAGCGTATAGCAGGCAAGAAGAAAGACATAGGCACACTGAGTTCAACGAAAGAAAAGGTACTCTGAAATTATTATAATGAACTCTTTAGCAGAAAACGCTTTAGTAACAAGTTACTAAAATTCTTGGCAATAAACTTATAAATCTGGGGCCAATAATGTCCCCAGAAACTCTGTCCTCTGTCACAGCAACTGTCCTGTAAGTGAAGCCCATGCAGAAAGCAGGCAGGGCTGATCCGCCCAGAACATGGCATTTTCGGCCTCAGGAGCGCGCGCCTCCATCCTCAGGGAACAGAGAACACCAGGATGACAGGCCGCCCTCATGATATGTCCATTAACAAGACCCGCGGAGCCCAATCGCTGGCAGCTACGTGTGCCTGCTACCTGTTAGCCGGTTCCGGAGAGAGCCCCGAAGCTGCGCTCCGGCCGGGCGCTGGGAACGCCTTTGTTGTTCCCAAAGGACGGAAGCTACCAGAGTGCAGTCGAACCCAGCGCCCCAAGGCAAAGCTGCCCCAGGCCCCGTACATCTGCCCAGGCTGGGGGTTTACAGCACAGCCCTCCGCGAGCTAAGAAAAGGCGGGAGAACCCCCGGCAACGCACAAATGTCACCTCCTAGTTCCGGGAGGGGTCACAAGTGAGGAAAGTTGGAGGACAAGTCCCTAGCACCCTGTTTCGCAGTGGAGGAGGACGCCCACCATGAGGTCGCGGGCCGTCCCGCTGGGTGAAAGCACAGCGAGAACTCGGAGTCAGGGGTCTGGGGAGAGAGGTGCTCAACTGAGACTAAGGGGGGTGGGGGGCGGGGACGAGAGGCAGTGGCGGAAGGAAGCGCTGAAGCAAAAGGCAAGAAGCCGGTGCTTGTAAGGGGCGTGAGGCTGAGGAAAAACAGCGAAGCGAATGTTGCGAGAAAGGCGAAGCTGAGGTGAAAGAGGCGAGGCCAGCGAGAGGCAAAGGGCTGAGGTGAGGGAAGCACAGCAGGGACAAGGGACAGGCAAAGAGAACCCCCGCCCGCAGGGACCAGAACTCTCGACCCGTCCGTCCCCCGCTACAGGCAGTCCTCGTCCGGCCGCTCTCAGGCCCCGTCTACAGCGCAGACTCACCCAAAGGCTGCAGGGGCTCCGCTGCAGGACATGGGGACCGGTCCAGACCCACAGTAGAACCAAGCGAGTGGAGGAAACCGCGGCGTTAGCGTGACCCGGAAGCGCATCCCTAGAAAACGGAAGTCACCGTCCAGGGTCACCTCACAATCCACACCTCGTTCCACCAGAAGCCTTTGGGCGCATGTGTCAGGCCTCACGGGGCGGGGCTGAGAAGCGTCTAGGCCCCGCCCACTCTCCCACCCACACAAACCTCCCCGCCCCGGCGAGCCCCGCCCCTGGTTACGCCTCTCTCCGTGCCTCCAAGATACCTAGTGCTGATAGGCTAGTTTTTGCGGTGCAAAGGCTCGGGTGCCCGGGTGAAAAACACTTCAGCACTCCGTTTTCTAGAAGGTCTCTTAAAATGGTATAATCCCTGCCTCCCTAAAGCGAGCATAAGGAGAAATGCATTTGGTAGATTTGGAAAAACCGTGGAAGGAAGGTGGAGAGTTTTTGGACACTTGTGGGGAGGCTAACCCAAGGTGATGTTTTTACCCCCAGTATTAGTTTATAATAATATTGCATTGCGCTTACAATTAACTTCTATTTTGTGCACATTATTTTATGTAATTATTTTGTCAGACACAAAAATTTTAAAGTCTTCGTTAACTTTAAATTACTTACCCAAATATGGGTTGCATTCAGGTTTGTGGCAGCCTGCAATTTATTCAATTTGGGGGCCCTCTTTGAGAAAATTCATTACAGGTTTTAAAAATGCTCACTAACACAAAATCCAGAAAATACTACTAATTAACTGCTTGCTATGCCTCTCTCTCTCGGTAAATTTTATGGCTGTAGTCTTGATCACCTCTTCCTATATAACAATTTACTAAGTAATATTACTTATGTACTAAGATCTTTGACTCCTCTCTCTCACCCCACGTTCATCAGCAAACTCTCCATGACCTGCCTTTGAAATCTGTCCAGAATCGGGCCATTTCACGCCTCAGTAAATGTGTGACTTTGCCTACCCTTTTATACCCTTGCCTTCCCTATTAACACAGCAGCCGTGGGCTTCAGTTAAAACCTTAACCAGATCATGTTGCTCCTCCAATTAATTTCTATTTTAAAGTGAAAACCAAAATTCTTACATTGGCCTAAGGACCCTCAAGATTTGACACATACACCCTCGTCCCCACTACAACCAACCTCATCTCCTACCCTCTCCATTCTCTCTCTACTCAAGGCATATTGGTCTGTTTGCTGTTCCTCAAACCTGCACATAAACTCAGGGCCTTTGTGTTTGCTGGTCCCTCTGCTTGGAATGCGCTTCCCCCTGATCATAGCATCATTCACCCTGTCCCCTCCTTTACAGCTGTGTTCATAGGTCACCCTCTCAATGAGACTCCCTGACACTGTTTTTTCCCCTCACACTGTATTTAAAATTGAAGCACCACCATCCTCCCTGAATTTCCTAACCCAGTTCCCCTCTTAATTTTTCTCTCATCACATTTTCTCTCATCCTCAAAACCCCATCCAACAATTTGCTAGTGCATTTGGCTTAATGTCTTTCTCCCCACACTCACACATACCAGAATGTAAGTTCCATGAGGGCACACATGTTTGTTTTGTTCATGGATATACTTCAGCACTGGAACAGAGCCTGACACATTGCAGGCACCCAATAAGTATTTGTTGAATGAAAGAATAAATTGCTCATCAACTTGGCTATTGCTGATCTGAAACCATGCAAGCTGAGCCACCAGCTCCACCAGGGGGTGCAAACGACTAACCAATGTTGCATCCCCAGAAGTTACTCCTAAAGCATATACATGCTCATTAATCCTAAAACAGAGCTACAGAAAGGCATACAAATTCCTCCCCAGAGCAAAGAGTACTGTACCTACTAGCATTAAAAACCCTCCAATGTCTTCACAGTCCCTTGAGAATAAAATCCAAGCTTTGCTTTTATCTTTTTAATATATTTTATTGATTTTTTACAGAGAGGAAGGGAAAAGGATAGAGAGTTAGAAACAGTGATGAGAGAGATAAATCGACCAGCTGCCTCCTGCACACCTTCTACTGGGAATGTGCCCACAACCAAGGTAACATGCCCTTGACCGGAATCAAACCTGGGACCCTTCAGTCTGCAGGCCGACACTCTATCCACTGAGCCAAACCGATTAGGCAAAATCCAAGCTTTTTACTATGGTCCACAAGACCCTTATTGACTTGCCCTTCTTAACTCTGATGTCATGCCCAACCTCCCTTCCTCTCATGTACTGAGCTCTAGCCATTCTGTTTTTTTCTTCTTGTGCAAACCAAGCTTTCTTGCCTCAGGAATTAAGCACATACCATTCCCTCTCTCACTCTTCCCCAAACTTCCAAATGACTAATTCCTTCTGCTACTCTCAGTTAAACGTCCCCTCTGAAGGCTTCATACAGCCTCCCATGACCTCCTGTCCTCTGTCTTAAGGAGCTCTCCACCTTTCCACACCTTATCTTTTCTTCATAGTCCCTACCACCATCTAAAATTGTTTTGTTTATCTGTCACTAGAAAGTAAGCTTCATGGGGGCTTTATCTTTCTTATTCACTGCTAAATTATCAGCCAATACTATGGTTGGCATATAGTAAGTGGCACATAGTAGGTGCTCAGGAAACAGAATAAATAATTACTAATATTTATTGAAGCTTTGCTATGTGTCACTGGCTGTAAATACATAAGAGCTCATCTTTTTCATTTAATCCTTCAAACACCGTGGGAAGTATTTTGATTATCTCCATTTTACAGATGAGGAAACTGAGGCAGGAATAAATTAAGCAGCTTGCTTGAGGCCACAAAACCAGCAAGAAGCAAACCTAGGACTTGAATCTAGTCTGTATACCTTCAGAGCCCATGATTTTAACTACTGGACCATGCTTCTCTCAAATTACAGAAAGAGCAATATGTAGCCAAGTATGAATTCATTTACTTACTATTTTTTTCTCTGATGTCATGCAGGTATGCTTATTGTCATGGTCAGCAGGAGTGGAAATGTTTATTGGGTTTTTTTCCCTACTCTACTCCCGGTGACAGATCTAAAGAAATATGGTTTTGTTTAAGCTGGGTTATAAGTACTTAGATATTTGTTATATTATTTTCTGTAGATCTGAAATATTTAATTCAAAACTTAACACAAAGGAACTGCTATAAAAATAGTCCAAAATATTATAGCCAAATCTTTCTAAACAAAAACCAATATGTAAATCAAAACACAAGTCTAGTTACACTAAAAGTGTCTAAAAATAAGGCCTCTGAATTTATGTTTCCATTTTTAAAAAAAACATGATTAGTGTTTTGTAACAGTTATCAAGTTAAACTCTCCTGATTAACATATCTGAGGTACATTGCTCTGGGCTTTATTCTTGTTGATGTTCTCTATTGTACCTAAGACAATCTTATTATAGACATGACAGTTGAACCTCTAAAAGCAATTTATAGTTGGTAGGATTGTAAAATGGTTCAACTACTTTGGAAACCAGTATGGCAATTCCTCAAAAAAAACACAAAAACACTGCCCTGGGGGCAGGGGCTTGGGGTGAGGGGGGAAGACCCAGTGGTTGAGTGTGGACCTATGAACCAGGAGGTCATGATTCCATTCCCAGTCAGGGCACATGTCCGGGTTGCAGGCTCAATCCCCAGTGGGAGGTGTGCAGGAGGCAGCCAATCAATGATTCTCTCTCTCATCATTGATGTTTCTATCTTTCTCTCCCTCTCCCTTCCTCCCTGAAATTAAAAAAAAAAAAAGACTCATTCTTATACACCCACAACTTCTCATGGCTTCTCCATCTAAGACCTGGCATCCAAGAAGGTCCAGTCCCTAGGCAGAGGGACTCGGACCCAACAGTTAGTGCAATGGGCAGGGTTTGAGAAGGAACCTGCCCTGATAGTTGGCGTAGTTGAGCAGAATTCAGAAGATATATGGACTCAGAGCAGCAGTGCTCCCGCTCTGCTCTTGCTGTTTCTGACACACACCCTTCTACCTTTCCCTGGTCACTCCTTCTTTTATTTCTCTGAACCTTAGTCATTCTGAGGTTGGTAGTGGGGCGACACAGGGCAAAGCAGCTGTCCCTGAGACTCAGCCAGCCCCAAAGTAGCCCTGATCAGATGCCATTTGGTCAGAAGCCAGACTTGCTGTTTAGAAAAACACATCCGTTCTGGGCACCACTACCTAAGGGAAAACTATGAAAGGCTTCAAAAATAGCAGTCAAGATGATTAAAGAGTTAGAAAATAGGGCCTGTGAGGAAAGACTACAGAACCTAGGTTGTTTATGTTAAGGAAGTGAAGGCAGAAGGGGCAAGGCTGGGCTGCTGAGAAACAGTTTTGAAAGAGTCAGAGCCAAATAAAATACAAAAAAAAGATACTGGTAAGTCTATGCTGTAGGTTAGGAGGGGTGAATGGCAGGGCAGTGGAAGGATCCTGGCAGGTCCATTGCGACCAGGGCCTGAAGTAAGGTGACCTCTTCAAGAAAGAGAACGCAAAATTATCAACACAAAACTGCGGAGCCCTTCCTGGCCTTTGGAAGGGTCAGGGGCCCTGAAGCTTAAGCTCTGTTGATTTCACAATAAATTCGCCTCTAATCAGGGTTTAATGAGTTAGCTGGAAACAGGTCTGGGACTCTGGCCAGCAGCTCTTGAGGAACTGAGGCCTCAGTCCAACGGCCTGTGAGGAACTGAATCCTGCCCATTGTCATGTGAGCTAGGAAACAGATCTTTTCCAGTTGAGCTTTAAGACGACCAAGGCCTCAGCTAAACCATGCCTCTTATGCCTGATCCACAGAAACTGTGAGATAATGAATGTGTGTTATTTTAAGCTGCTGCATTTTGGGCACATTTGTTACACAGCAGTAGATAACTAATACACAAGTGGAGTGGTACAAATAAGCACAGTGTGTGATGGGTGCACATGGGAAGGTGAGACAGCAAACTACTGAGGCACAGAGAGGCTGCATCCTTTGAGACTTCTGAGAGGAGGTCAGGTTTGCATTGCATTTCAGAGGCTAGAGAGGCATCAGTTAGGGGAAGAAGCAAGAGAGGGCATTTCCAGGTAGAATGCAGCCCTAGATGGTTTGGCTCAGTGGATAGAGCACTGGC